CGTGGTTTGATATGTTGGTCGGACCCAGCAATATGAAGCCTAGGAAACTTGAAAAGCCTTTCTATGCGAACCCAGAGCATTCAACACGCCCCAGGAGATGCTCATCATTGAGGACCTCCCTCGAAAGCACAAGGAGTCCGAGGAAAAGGCTGGAAACGCACATGGGGAAAAAGGTTTAAGAGATGCGTTTGGCGAACAGGTCACGGGTGCATGTGATGCTTTCGAGCTGCGAACGAGCAGGATGCACAGAGGAATGCAGCTAGTTTGATCCGGAAAGTTGTTTCGCTGGTAAATCTAATGGTGTAATTTTTTAGTGAGACATTTAGTTTTGGCCCGTTTTGGCAGCCAGGCAGAAAGCTGAACACTCCGCGCGATGGTCCGATTCCCCCAACATGCCAGAGGTATTGTTAGCCGCAGCTGGCATGCAGAATATCACTTGCGCAGAATACCTGCAAAAGTGCACACGATGTGGTGCTGGGGCGGTGGCTGGCTGTCGGCTGAGTTCCCTATGTACACTTCTTTTCAATCTTGGCTGCACGGCACATCTCGTCAGCAGAATGGCAAAGATCCTTTCTTCTCGGTTGCATGCCGTGATCGTTGTTCGGACCATGCATCGTACCGGACAGTTTGCTCTGCTGCCACCGGCCGGCCACCCGTCAAAATTAAATGCAGCTCCATGCCAAACCCTACCTATACCGTCAAGCGGTGTTTCACAAAATGGCGGCTCGCTTGTCCACACATTCCAGTCGTTGCTTAGTCCAGGCCCAGTCACAGTATCCATGCGTGTCGCTGCTTGTCGAGTTCGAAGTATTCTGCAGCTGGGCTCACGCAGGGACGTAGCAAAGCCTTTGTTCCAGAATTTGTTGGGTAGACTTTGCAAGAAGGGGCGGCATGCAGCACGCAGTGTTTGACACTGCTTTCTGCACACTCGAGCGAGCCGGTAATCAGCCCAGGGAAGATGCACTAACTTATCATTGCATCACTGTAGCGAGGCAACATCTGCCATTGCTCTGTAGTGCTTTTCGAAGCACCTCCTCCAGCCTCTCGCGCGCACCCTAGTCACTAGTCGGAAGGAGCTTTGTTCGAGAATTGCACCCCGATCATTTTTCAGCCCACGAGTGAAAGCAGCCATCAGCCACTGCACGAGGTCATGGCACTCGCAGGTCCGCTCCATCCGCCGCAGATGAACTATGGTTCGGTTGGCACACAGCTAGCTTTGATGACATTGCTTGGTTTGTACAGGCATCTGTGCTGCGTAGGCTTCAGCAGGGTCCACATCGCAGTGAGGCTTAAGACACATTGCACCCCATCCATGTCTGGAAGCCTCTCGGATTTTCTTGGTCTTCACATTAAAGGATGTCATTGCCAAGGCCTCAGCCTCCGGTGCCTGTAGCTTTTGCTCAGCAGGTCCTCGTAGCCGACGGGGCACACAAAGTAAAGAGGTAACGAGCTTGCAGAACACGCAGGTCACGCGAGGAAGCTTTAGTCGAAACTTGGGGCCAGCCCTTGACTTGAGACTTTTGATGCAAAAAAGACCGTAGACACACCTTCTTGCTACAATCCAGAGATGGCAGACTGGTCGTCACAACACCACTCTCCACCACACAAAAGACCTTGAACTTTGCCCGCGCATGGGCCATGGGTCAGGGGCCTGTGATCCTCGGCTGGAGTAAGACAGCGAAGGTTTGGCTCGTACAGGTTTGCGACGGTCTGAGCGGATTTGCAGTGTTGATTGCAGCCAGAGAGCTTCCGAAGCTTGATACTCGGCCCCGGAGCTTCCTGGATGCGGGTCACTGCCACATCCAAGCCCCAAGCTGTTGTTAGACTTGCTTTGGCCTTGGTCTCTTCACAGAAGACGCCTTTCAGGAACTCTGCCTGCACGTGCTGCTTCAAACGCAGCAATGAGCCGCAGGACCGTTGCACCCAAGACTGGGAGAGCGCTCTGTAGATTCTTGGAGCACTCGTGCTTGTGACTCCACCGGGCATAGGGGCGCGTTCGGCTGAGCCGCGAGACTAGACTACTGCCTACTGTAGCCGAATAGCAAATAGCTTTAACAAGCTTTTTCTAACTATCCATCTAAGTCTGTCAAACTGTCTACATCTAATTTCTAAACCCGTGTATCATTATTGTATATCTGTCCACTTGTTCGTTTGTCTGTCATCCTTCCTGTCTGTCTTTCTGTCAAGGTTGTTTCTTCTTTCGTCCTGTCTGTCTTTCTATCTATCTACTATCTATTTATCCATCCATCGGTGCATACGTCTATCTATCTGTCTGCTTTTCTGTTCCATCTGTGTACTTCTAATCATCTATGTATCTTCTGCCTGTGTGTTCTTGCAGTATTCCAGGATAAAAGATGATTCCCTTACCTTGATCGGATTTCAGATTTCAATTGCCGGCCCAAGAAAGACACCATCTCTGCATCAGTTTGGCTCCTTTGCATCGACGGGTGCTCGCCGAACCCTCGTGGTACCTGCCTAAGCATGGAAGGGATTGTGCTTGTGCACAGCATGTCCTGGAAAAAGAGCTACAGCTACATATTCTTCCGAGTGCCAGTGCAGGTCCCTGAGATGAGCTCGGACGTCTTCAGCACTCGCTCAGAGTTCCGGCCGCATTGAGCTCTGTACTTCAGTCTTGAGTCGAGGTTCCAACTGTGCCGAGAGGCTAGGGAGAGGGCTGACTGGCAGCTACACCATGGAACCAACACGGATGTTCTGAATCTGTTCTGACATGATCAGCATTATGAGACATGGGGCCCAACCGCTCCTGCAGTTCGGGAGCCCCGCCCACACCTCAAAGCAAGATCGAAATGAGATTATGTTGTTGTGACTCACCCAACATGTCCGCTCATGCTAGGCAGTAAGGGCAGTGGTCGAGTCCTTGGTGAAAAAAACGCCGCTCATGAGAAACGTCGAGTTCGAAGTCCGCTGCTGCTGCGCGCACTTGATCACCGTCGATCGCGCTGCTACATCGCCGAGTTAGTTGCCTTCGGAACTCTTTGAGCTAAGTCGTGGGATGGGCTTTGTGTCAACGTGCGCTGAGGCTGGGCCTCGGCAGCCTTCCACCGGGCCCTGCATTGTTTGCCGGCAGGCTTTCTATCGTTCCCTAACCTACTATATAGGTACTCGAGCCCCTAGGGCCCTATACAGTAGCCACCTGGGGCGTTAGGGGTTGCTTCGTGTGTCTTTGCTGCTCCCTCGATATGGGGATGGGCCACGCATGTTTGTTCTGCGAGGCCCCGGCCGACACGGTTTGCATACCTTGTGGTCATCTTCTGGCACCATGGCGATGGGGAGAAGGGGTGAGCTTTCGATGACTTGATGTGACTCGTAGTTGCATTGTAGCTCGTCGAAGACAGGGACTATGATCAGGGCAGAAGATGTCAGACGGCGCCAAAGTAGTTGAGAAAGCATACCCGCATCGGATGCACAAGACATCACGAGACGAAGGTATGTTTCTGGTGCAGTCAGCGCTATCAAGTGGCAGAAGCTTGTCTGCACTCTGGGCATTGTGCTGTGTCTGATTGTTAACTGATGGCACTACGATTCCCGTGCCTCTTCCCTCCAGCCAGTTACCCTTCACAGCTGTTCCTGAGCTCGGACGTGCTCAGCTGCATGTCGTGCTGCGAGTGATTTGAAGGAGGGCGTGCTTCATCCAGATACGAGGCCGGCCATCATGCTTCTGCCATCTGCATGGCATACATGCATAAATACAGAGCAGTCTGGCAGATTGACAGACAGATAGACGGACAATAGACAGACAGAGACTGACAGACAGACAAACGGACAGACAAAACAAGACATGCATAGTACACGTATGACGGACTGGAATATAGGTAGATAGGTAGGTATATAGGTAGGTAGGTAGGTAGGTAGGTAGGTAGGTAGGTAGGGGGATAGGTAGGTAGGTGGGTGGGTGGGTGGGTAGGTAGGTAGGTAGGTAGGTAGGTAGGTAGGTATACGTATAATTTACAGACGTATGACGTATGCATATGTCTTTAAATATGTGTATAGGTGTTGTATGTGGGTGTGTACATATGTTTGTGTATGTATCTGTGTATGTGTTTGTCAATCTCGCACCTTGGCTTGCGTATCGGATAGCACCTAAAACCCCTGCCTCACTTACCAGCCAAAGATGCGCAGGTGCCCCATCTGCAAGCAGAATGTGCAGCATTTTCAGCAGGCTGTGGACGTTTGGGGCTTTGGGTGGGCCGGATATTGTCACTGCAACGGCCTTTCAGATCGTGGTGCTGAAGCTGTTGCCGGAAGCATCTATAAATCTGCCAGGCACTCCTGCAAGGGGCGGTCATCGTCTCAGCTCATGTCCCTGCGCTTTGACCGACCTGAATGATTTCGCAACGGGTTGGGGTGGTTTCGAAGATGAGTAGAGTCTACGGAGTTTTGTCAAGCGACGTGTTGAGGCTACCCGCGAATTTTGGGGGAAGGCGGGCTGGGTTTGAAGGCGAAATCTGCAAAGAAACTGCACAACATGTTGCCGAGGCTACCGATCCGCATCCACGCGGGCAGATGTCACTTAGATCCCACTACAGCTTCACATGAGCCGGTGTGAAGCTGATCTCAGACTTGGCATGCGTTGATTCTCTTCTACTGTACTGATATGCAGTTGACCTCCTGATGTGTTTGTTTCACTGGTTTCGTTCGTATCAATGCCGCTACCGTTGGGAAGAAGATTCCATGTCTGGCCTGTTCGGGCCGTTTGAGAGCTTCTGGTCCAGGTCAGGCTCAAAAGATGCTGGAAAGAGTCTACTCTGATGCGAAACCCGCGTCGGGGATGTAGATGCCAGCTCCTTGTGGCCACTGGCGACAAAAGACAACAAGTACTGCGGACATGTTGTATTCCTTAGTGGCTTGTTTATCCACTTCAAGATACGGGTTTGCATGCGTCAGCTGTCTATTGCGGCAAATTGCTTCAACGAGTCGCGTTAGTTTTCCGAATGGATTGAATCCAACTGAATGCATCTCATTTCTTTTGCCGTTCGCAGTGTCCTCGCGGCAGCGGAGTGCCTCGCCGGGGATCACACTCCGGGAGCACCGGAAGGAGGCGGAGCTGAGTCAAGTTGAAGCGTGCAGCTGGAAGTCGGTGACAGAGCAGGCCCTGGAGAGAATGGCCGTCATGGCGAATCTGGGTATCAGCCTAAGCTTGAAGCCTGTGGAAGGAAGACCACGGCCGCTTGCTGGACCAAGGACTGCACGTCTTCCATCCCGAGTGGCAGAACGTACGGCCAGGCCGGCTCACAAGCGACACCTCATTTGTGTAGAGTCCCTGAAGCTGCCGCGGCTGCTCTTTGAGGCGCAATGCCCCAGGGCAGACAGTACAGCACCACCTTCAGGATGATCGCTATGAAGCTCGGCTGCTGTCGTATGTGCTGTCCTTTGAAGTCCAAAATCCTCGCGCGAGCGAATGATTGATGCACCAAGGAAGGTCTTCGGCCCTGGCCCAAGCTTTCGCTCATCTCTGCGTTGGGGAGAGGATGGAGAGGGGGCTGCCCGTTTATTGAAACTATGCCCCAAAGAGGCTTCTTGATTCCGGGTTCTTGCAGCCCTCCCTGGCGCTCCATGACGATCACTCATGTCAGTACTCATCCGTACCCTGCGCTTCACGACGCTGTCGCAACTGACGGTTTGGAGTCGGTCGGCTCTGGAGAACTTTCCGGCTTCCCCGGATATGGAACCATGCACACGGTTTACCGATGCTGCTTCCTGCGGCGATGCCAGGGAGTTCTCCCGTTGAGCATTTGTGTTTCACATGTTTGTTGCCGGGTTGCGCGGTGAAATGTTCTTCGCCTTCATTTCGCAGGTCGAGACGAGGAGATCACCCTGCCGGTCCAGACCTGCACGAAAGTCGTCGACGCGACTTGTCAAAGTATAGTATTAGTACCTCGAGCGGCTCTGGGAAGCACCTGATAGAGTTTGCAGGTGCTTTATGTTGTTCGGAAGTTGAAGCGGCAAATTGCTTCCATGTCCTACAGTGTCCTGGCTGATTGCTCCTGAAAATCCGCGAAGCATGGGAAGCAAACTTCTGCAATAAATCAGGATGCGCCCTGCGGCAGGCTTGTGCATTACATTGGAGACAGTTGCAGTGCGCACATTGTAATATATGGCATCGCACACTGCGATTTGAGGAGCCTGCTCTAGGCGGCTAGTATTTTTGGGGGGTTCTTGATTATAATTGTAATATAATGGGCCCCCAAACCCTATTTAGGACACAAGCTGGTCACGGTTGCGAAAGGCTTGGAGTCTTAAATGAGCTCAGGTGAGGGATGCATTGGCCCGAGCGCTGGGCCTCGATCCAGAGAGTGCCCGACTCGGTACTATATGAAGCAGACAGCTACGATAGGTACTTGCCCGGACTATACGTGTTGTTGAATTATGTCGACAGGCTTTGCCAGGTTTACCTCGATTTCAGCATTTTGCACGTTTGCTTCGCGCTTCAGCTGGGCAGCGAAGTTCTTCGATTAAATTTGGTTTTAGGCCAGAGACGGCTGCAATCCCCAAAAACTCAGAAGTGAGCCGAAGGAACATGTCATCTTTGTTTAAAGTCGCTCCTGCGACTTTGAGACCTTTGGAAATGCAGTTTTGTCACTTGGGCGGACCCGCTTGTCCATGGCAGTGCTAGATGTTTGGCAAATCGAACGCTCTATCGGAGATCATTGTGGGTGGCGTGCAAACTTTGCAGAACGTGCCGTGACTAGAGAATGCGCAGATCCAAGAACGAGTGAATGCTCACCAGGCGAAAGTTCACTCGCAGCATTGGCTTATAGCAGAAGCTTCCTCTGTGTGCACATGAGAGACAGCTATGAGCAGGTAAAGGTGTTAGAAGACCACATCGGCAACGTGCAATCCTAGCCTTAGCCAGAGGCAGACTTGCATGGACAAAGCCGCCCAGTTCTGTTCCCAGCCATGAAAGGGCAGCCCGAGCCCGGTTCCACCTCTGGGCAACGCCGGCGGAATGGGCTGTGCCGTGGCTACTGCTTTGTACACAGTTTCCATGGATGATCCGTTTTGCATGCGCTTGGGCTCATGCGCCCAGCCCTGCTACCTGTGCTAAGCTTCGGCCCCATCTGCCTCACGAGGATTAAGCTGTTAGAGTGGAAGTATTCATGTACAGTAGATGCCAGAAATCATCAGCAAGCCGTCACCATGGAACCCAAAGCTACGTCAGAAAAGCTCATAGTCAGCTTTACTAGTATAAGGGCAGAAGAGATGCCTTGCAGGAAATTCAGGTTTGTAAGGCACGTCCTCCGGTTATAGCAAACATAGACCTCTGAAGATGTTCCCTGCGAGTGCTGAGTTGGTGGTGCCCTCCGCTTCTGTCATTTGAGCCACATGCCACAGTCTAACCACCTTGGCGTGACTCCACAACTTGAAGCATAGTTACATGCCAAGGCTTATTTGCCTGGTCCTCTTCACTGCCAGGCATGAGGGATAGGTGTCCTTTGAGTAGGGTGGCGAAGCTCAGTGGTCAATCACGTTGCACGTCTCCACCCCTGCAGGCAGAACAACAGTTCCGACAGTCCTGCACGAAGAAAGCACAAGCTCCACAGAGCCCCCAAAGGCCTCAGACCCAGGAGACTTTATCCACGCGCAGAGACCCTGTGTCCTTCGCTTGAGGGCGAACGAACTTTTCACGCCGCCGGGCTTCGAGGACATCAAGGCGGAAGCCCGGGACTCTGCCTTGCTAGGTGTCCCACCGCTAAACTTTAACGGTTAAAGAAAGAGAGAGACATGAGGTAGTGGTGTGTGACAAAGGATTCCGCCCGATGCTGCAGCAATTGTAGTCCGATGATTTCCCCTTCTGGTGCTTATATTTCGTAGCTTCGAGTCGTGGGTTGCTGCCACTTTTATCCGGCTCTAGTGCCAAAGCAACTGCGCTCGTTACTTCGCATAGTAGTGGCTGGACTCGGGGTTCCGTGAGTGACCTGTGCGGATGACTGTAGAAGAAACACTCGGTGCTTTGAGCTTCTTGCAAGGTTTCGTGAGGGCAGGTTTGGCCATCTTGACATTGAAGAGTTTTCGCAAGACAAGCAAAGGGGCATTAGCGTGGGGCTATGTGTCCGGGACGGCTTCCTGAAGTCCTGCTAGTATGACTTATTCTCACAGCGCTCCCTACATTTGAAGGAACGGGGTCGGCATCACTTTTCCGGAACTCTCGGGTTGCATGCGGAATTCAGTCTTCCGTGCAGGAGGCCTGGATCATCGGCGACCTCCATGGTGACATACAGTGTGCTGAGCAGTGGGTGAGAAGGCCCTTTTGTTTGGGGCGTGTGCAGTGTTCAGTGGTCCTTGAAGTCTTATGCAAAATGGCCGCGGTAGTTCCGGTCCAAAGGCGCTTTTTCAATGTTTCCGGCATACACATGCTTGCACATATCTGCAGTCTTTCATGATGAGAACAGGCGGACCACCCTCTCGACCCAGCTTGAACCCTGCCCAAGCCGAGTGCAATCTGACGACTCAGGACCGGCTTGGTAGACCTGGACACGTGGACGTGGCAGGGTAGAGAACGCGCAGCCCTGATTTTTATGGGCGATTATGTGCCTTGGACTTGCTGGGAGGACCGTAGGAGAGCCCTGAAGGGATTAACAAAAACGAGTCCTGGCCTGACAGTCTGACAGACAGGTGGACAGGGGCCCTGAGGGCCTTCAGGTCCTCAGTTTCGTGCGGAACCTCACGTGGAACTTTCCCAAAAATGTGCTGGCACTTATTGGCCCCTTGGCAGGGATGTTGTTCGGTCGATTTGCTTGAGTTGCTGGGGATTCGGGTTATGGAGCTTGGAGATCAAGCCATCGGACCGCAAATAGGACGAATGGCCATAGGCTGGGAAAGGTTTAGGCTTGTCCACGCAGCTTCATGCATGCCAGATGTCCAGGAAATCACGATTTGTACTTCCTCGCAGACTCGGTCCTGCCAGATGGTGCTACTACTCTGATGGGTGTGCCAGTGCGAGATTTTACCTTTTCATTTATTCACCCAGATGCTTGGTGTCAACTGTGCGAACTCAACCTTTCGTGTTTGCTTGCTCCTGCATGTACGACCGGGTTGGCATTTGAATCGTGGTTTGTTCGAGCATGGCCTAGCTGCCTGCATGCCGAACTGTCGATAATGGCCTTCCACTAAGGAAGAGTATCTGAACTGGGTGCCGGAGAGCGCCGTCCAGGCGTGGATTCGCGAAAGCTCCCGCTGCACTTGCAGTGCATCCTCAACGCTGAAGCCACTCCATAAGCGAGCTGGGCTAGACTACAACTCGGATCGTAGTGTTCCCCTGGTTTGGTCCATAGGGGTCGGGTCAGGGTCTGCCGCTGTGAAAGGCGGAGGACACGTCCGAGATCCTTCCAAGCCTGCTGCTGGCCTTGCAGCATGTCTACCAGATGAGAGCCGAGCGCCAGGTCGATTATGAAAGGGAAAGAGGGTTTGCGGCTTAAGGGCCCTTTGCCGCTGCAAGACTGTAGCGTAAGTCTTGCGAGGTCGGGCTTCCTAGGTCTTGTCCCGCCATTTTCAAAGTGCTCGCCGGGTTTGGAAACTTCAAGCGCCGGGCAGGTGATGATGGTCGAGGGGCCCGGACAAAGAAGCCTTTTCGACTCCTGGCTCTCTCTCGTTTGGTTGGCGTAGGCTTTGGGTCACCAGCATTGAAGCGGCTGCGCGTTCTTCGCTGGCATTTACTTGGCTTCGCAGCGGTTCCCAAGTCATAACACACTACCACATACAGTCTGTAGAAAGTTAAGATGGCTTGAAAAGAGTTGAAGCCTGCTGCAATATCCCTCTGCGGCCTTCCTGCAAAGCCTGAACTGAGGGCTGGCCCCCTTTTGTCGGTAACGATATGCTGCGGCAGCGCACCGCCCAGCGCCTCAGACAGTGGCAGCAGCACCTTGCTGAAGGCCTTCCATTCGACTGCTTCCCAGTAAGGCGAAACGCTGAATCAAGCCAGTTGCAAAAGGTTTGTGGGTTCAAGGTGGTGCAAAAGGACGACATGCAAACAGTTGAATGCATCCACGACTCGGAGGCACACCCATTAGAATCTCTCATCGTGACCTGCATGTGCTCGTCGATGACCTTCATGAGTAGTCAGCATCACTACTAGCTGCAACATTAGCTGCAGCTAGAAGACTACAGTTGTGTAAAGCTGCGAAGTATGAGCAGAGCCCCCCACGATGAGCGCTTCCGGATTCCTCAGGGCTTCACAGTTCTGGCTTGGCAGAGTGGCTCCTCGAGCGCCCTGCGATGGCGGTCGTAGCAGGCCATGGCAAGTGATGCGGGCGCAGTCTTTCCAAAAGGGCTTAGTAGAGACGGACATCGGTTTTGTGCATAGTGTAGATCGTCAAGCAGCTGCAGCCCGTTTCCGACAACGTAACGATTTGTGTGGTTGTGCTGTTTTGTAATTCTACAGTAATCGTATTCTACGTATAATTGTGATGAATTGTACTTGCATTGTATTGCAATGTTTTGCAGTGTAGCATTATGAGTGCTGTGATGGATGGATGGATGAGCGTACGTACAGGCATGCACATGCAGCGTCAGCGTTTGTTACATCCCGGTTCCCTCCTATGGAGGAACGCTTCTTGTCCATGGCGGCTTGATGCCCGTTCGGGACGCCTCGGAGCTGGTACCTCTAGCACCAGGCAGCGGTTCACTTGCTTGAGATGAAGCCGGAATGTCGCATGTTTCTAACTCCATGTGCTCCCCGCTGTGCTCCTACAACCCAAACGAATGTCGAGGATATCTCCACAGCGATCGGCACCACGTCTTGCAGCAGGGAGGCGCGGTCAAGGACTGGAATTGATTCATGGCAAAAACAACCGTTTCAAGCACGTCGAGTCTTCTCACTGTTATGTGTGCTGCCCTTGTTGAGTTTCTTGGAAGTGCATTTGAAGGAGCTGCTTTGCATATGACGCGCCTAATACTTGCCGTGAACACAACAAGCAGTGTCCTGTAGCCCTCACATCCGGGCATCATTGACCGTCGCTGCTTCTGTGGAGGTGCTAACTTGGAGCTCCTAAGCCAGGCCGGACCCTCGGTGCTGGGGCTCATTGCATCACTGTGCGACGGCGCATAGCAGAGGGAGAACGGTGCAAAAAAAAAAGCGCAGCATACCATGCACCACTTGAGAAGACATGTAGAACTGCGAAGAGCCAGGCTACGACCTACCGGGGCTTCCATGCGGATGACCCCAAGGGCTGCGCGGAGGTCGATGCTGCGAGGACCTCGGGGTAGCGCAGCATACACCCTTCGCAAGAGCTTCGTCAGACTCTGAGAGCTGATTCTCTGAGACTGTTCAGTTATCCACAGTTGAACAATCCATTCC